AGACAGACAGACAGATAGGCAGATAATTATTCATTATATATTTATTTATATAATAATGTTTATTTATTTATTTTTATAAATAAATAAGCAGACATAAATATTTTTGATTATTTATATTATATTTTTCTATTCAAATTAACCAATTTTTTTTCTTTTTTATTCAATTCAACTACTTCAACACCAAACTGGAGAAAAATAAGCAAAGGGATAAGTATTCATTATGTATTATATAATTTTTTGTTCTGAATTCAAATTAAACAAATTAACATCAAACAAACAAACAAATTATATTATATATTTATTTGTTTTCTTTTTTATTAAATTCATCTAATTCAACATCAAACTGGAGAAAAAATTATAAACCAATGAATATTATATAATGTGTATTATATTTATTGTTTTCTCTTCAGACTGAAATGATCATCAAACTAGAAAAAAATTAATTTGATTTATTTATTATATCATATATTTATTATTTTCTCTTTTTAATTAAATTAACCAATTCAACATTAACATGGTGAAAATAACAAATCTAATGCATAATAACAGTGCATCCCCTATCTTACCTCAAAAGACAGACATAAAGATGGGACTGAGATTTCGCATTTCACATGCTGACTAATTTGGCACTGCCTCTTGGCCACCTTTCACAGTGGGGTGTTATATACCAGCGGCACCTTGTGTGCTTAAAAGTTTAATTATCTTTCATTTGCTAGCACCACGCTGATACATACTTGTGAAATGGATTTGAGAGTCCTATCATTAGGTCCTTCCTAAATAAACAAGCATAAAAAGTACAGGCCCAGCTCCACAAGGGTCCTGGGGCGGCTGGACCTAATATTAAAAGCTGGAACCTGGCTTCATAAAACACGTATTTTAAATCCTTATAAAACTGTAGAAAAAAATTTGCTTTTCGCCACATGGCACGTTCTCCGAAAAATTCATTATAAAAGTATGTCTCACATCTCTGAAACCACTTTCATCATCAGTGCTCCTGCGCGCTGCCACCATGTCATCCAACTTAATGAGATTCGGAGACCGACGAAGTTCAATATATTAGTGAGGAGAGACAGTACGTAAACATTACCCAGAACCCTCAAGTCAGGAGACACAGCGTGAACTTCTGGCGTGGTTGCTGAGGCTCTGTTGTTTGGCATCCACAAGATTTCACAAGTTTGTGAGGAATTGCTGGTCTGGCACTCTAGTAATGGAGATGGAGCTCCAGCACTGTCTGAACCTCACTTCCACAGGAAGATCTCTAGAAGCAGCATGCCGCCCATAGATGCTTTTGATACACACGATGGCCACCTCCCTCATGGGATCTGCACGTCTTCATATCCCGGTGGGACGGTCAGCAAGCCGCGCAAGAAGCTGCAGGTGATTGTTTGTGTGCTCTTCGTGGAGCTTTTTGAGAGGTTCACCTTCTTTGGGATTGTTTGCAATATGATCCTTTTCTGCACCATCAAGCTGGGATACAGCAGTTACCAAGCAGCCATGGTGAACACATGCTTTGTGGGAGCCAGCGTACTTACACCGGTTCTTGTGGGATGGTTTGCTGAGACGTGTTTGGGAAGGACAACAGTTCTCTGTTTTTGTGCACTCCTTCATTTCTTCGGTTAGTGGTTGCCATTGTAGTGAATCATTGGTAAACTATAGTCTAATCTTTAGCATCTTGCTCAAAGCCACTTGTTAATGAAACTTACTGAAACTCATTTGGAGGTACACTGGAACAGTGTAGAGAGATAAATGTTATGTCTTTGTATGTTTAACTTTTCCATGTGAAGAGATCTGAAGTTGAAGGACATTGTGCTAAATGACAGTGGTTCTCATCCAGGGATCCAGGGCCCACATAGGGGGCCTAAGCAAACTTCCAATTGTGAAATTACTTTATTTCATAATTAAATTAAACGATTACAATTTTAAATTACTCTACCGTTCAAATGTTTGGGGTTGGTACGATTTTTGAAGCTGCATTTATTTAATCAAAAATACAGTGACAACTGCATTGTGAAATATTATTACAATTGAAAACAACTGTTTTTTATTTTAAGCGGTTACTTCAGTGTTCAGTGTCACATGATCCTTTAGAAATCATTCTAATATAGGGATTTGCTGCTCAACAACATTATCAATGTTGAAAACATTAATATTTTACTTAATATTTTTGAAACTGCGATACATTTTTTAGGATTATTTGATGAATAGAAAGTTCAAATGATTATAAAAATATACATATAAAATTATAATTCTTTTTTATTTTATATATTTTTAAAAAATTCTATTGAAGATCAAACTGTTCTGAAGATCTCAAAGTTTTGTAATTACAGAATTAATCATAGTTAATTATTCATTAACAGAAACTCAGACATATTCAAATAAGTTAGAAAACAAGCAGTTTTGTCTTTAGTACTGGAGGAGATATATTAGCATACATTGAATAATGTGCTGGACCTTGGAATCAAAAAGGTTGAAAACCACTGCTATAAGACAAACCCAAATTTAGCTCATTTTTATGCTTGTCCAGACTGGGTTAGGCTAGTTTGATCCTGGTCTAACAACAATCTGCTGGTCTTTTCAGCAGGGGATGTAAAGTTGCCATCAAGTGTCCATAAAAACTAGATAACTGACTTCCTGTTGTTGGTCCATTTTTACAGGAACTGCCTTGCTTCCTGTGGTCGCATTCCCTTTTGAGGATTTCTATATAAACACACATAATATTGTGCATCGACTTGAGCCTCATGAGCAACACATACTATTTTACACGGGGCTTGTTGCTGTGGCCCTTGGCATTGGTGGCATCCGTGCCATCCTCTGCCCAATGGCAGCCTATCACCTTCAAGGCTGTGATCGACACCAGCTCCTGTCTTTCTTCAACTGGTAAGATGCTAAATTACCAGTATTATACACAGAATTTGCTCTACATGTCAATTAAAACACTTTGTACAATAGGTTCAAATGCTGCAGCTATTTACAATCCACAGGTTTTACTGGCTGGTCAACCTGAACTCAACTGTTGTTTTTTTGGGGATTGCCTACATTCAGCAGTCAGTTGCCAAAAACCTGTGTTTTCTCATCCCTTTCACCTCTGTTCTGCTCGCCCTCATCGCCATTCACATGGTGCGCAACAAGCTCACTTTCCGTCCAAAAAAAGGTAACAATGCCATTCATATTACACATACACAGAAACACATACATTTCTTTTCTGATAATTTTTCTGAGAAATTATATTAAAAAAATTACTGACAGTGGTGAATTGTTAATTTGTTCTGATTTCTGTTCCTTAACAACTTTGAATTTTCTTCTGTGAACTAACAGGCAGTTCCTTGCTAACTACGCTGGGAGTGTTCCTCAATTCTCTGAAAATGTGCTGCCTCCATTATCGCCATTTAAGCGGAGATGTTGCCAACTGGCTAGACCGTGCTAAGGAAAACAATGGGGGTCGTTACAGTGAGACCAGTGTGGAAAACGTCAAGATCCTAGTCAAACTGTTCCCTCTCTTTGGACTTCAGCTTTTATATCGAGCTTGCATTACCCAGGTGAGTATGTAACAGCTTAATTTTTAGTTGAATCCATACTTTTGTTCAGCAATTAGCTTCTGTAATGTCTTTATTTCAAATCTTTTAATAGATCCCATCAGGCTATTATCTACAGACGATGCATTCCAACTTAAAACTCAACGGCTTTCTCCTGCCAGTAGCAGTGATGAAGGTCATCAGTATACTGCCGGTGCTGATCTTAGCACCACTGCTGGAGCTTCTGAACACCTGCTACCAGTCTCCAAAGAAAATACTGCCCTC